TGAATTGAGCGCTGCAATGCCTGAGCTGCCCGAGTCATTCGAGTTGATGGCGCGAAAATCGAAAAATGGTTGCAAACGGATGTCCGCCTGCGCGCGCACTTGCCAGGATGTGCGCCCTCACTGAATCCTTCCCGCATTTATTTACATTTGTTTGGACATTTCTTTGCGGCCGACTGATATGATCCTTCTTCGCCCTCGCCCCTCCTCTCTCTCTCTCTCTCCCCCCCCCCCAATCACTCAGCATTTATCCAGTGGCCGTCGGCCCATCCCGCCACCGTGCGTGGGTGGTGGGTCGGAGGCCTCATGGATGCTGGTACTTCTGAGAGCCTCTTGGGCGCCTTTTGGAGCTTCATGGGACCTCAGGGAGCCTCTTGAGGCCAGCGCGATCCAACATAGGAATTGAATCCCCTAGAAACGCAGCGTTAGTAGTAACAGTAAAACTAAGTTAAAACTAAACTAAAGCTAAGCTGAAGCTAAGATGGCGCTAACCTAAACTAAAATAAAGCTAAGCTAAAGCTGAGTTTAAGCTAAATTAAAGCTAAGCTCAAACTAAAAGCTACAGCTAAAGCTAACGCTAAAACTAATGCTGAAACTAAAACGAAAACTAACGCTCCCAGGGAAGCGGGGGGGACACTGCCCAGCCGTGCGGGTGGGCGGGGAGAGGGAGGAGAAAGCTGGTGGGTGGGGAGAGGGGGAGGAGGGGGAGGATGCGCGGCAACAAACTACAACATGTCTAGATGCCAAATGCCCGTTCCTTCCATAGCCATTTTTGGCCCCCGAGCCAGCAGCAATTGAACGGCCAACCTGGGGCGCTTCTCTTCAGACCGTTGCTGCGCTTGCGATGGCCACCCCGACCCTGACGCGCTGGGAATACAATAACCTCGGCCTTCGCCACGCAGATGACCGTAGTAGACATCATCGGGGCATCCTGTGGGTCGACAGCCGATCCACCTTAGTGATATGGCAATCAACTTCTCACACAACGCCATGGCACGGGGAAGTGAATTTCAGTCCAACTGGTTGCACGGTGAGCTTCGACTGCTACATGGGCAGCCACCGACGCCCCAACAACACCCCCTACCTGAAGTCGACCGTGCTGTGGAGCACGGTGACGGGCGACTACGTCGGCCACGACTACATGGGTAGGACGATCCGCATGGTCCCCATGAGCAGGTTCACGCACGTTCAAGGACAAGACAACGATGGCGCGGGCGCGTATGTCCACACGCAAACGTGGGACAACGGGCAGTGGCGCGACGTCGATGACGCGTGGCACCCCGCCCCAGCGGGCTAGCGGTCATCCTCCTTGCTCCCATTTCCCTCCTCCTCTCCCTTCTTCTCCCCCTGGATTGAATCGGGCGCCTGCTTGTATAGCCTAATCGGGCGGCTGCTTGTATAGCCTAGTCGCCTAGACAATCCTCCACCACGGGGGCGACTGTGCACGTCCCCCAGCGTGCGAGCATGCAAAAAAAAACTCTTAGAAGCGCTTTTGATGGCCGTCCATGTTCATGTTCACGGTAACTGACGGTAACTCACGGTAACTCACGGTAACTCACAGTAACTCACGCTAGCGGGGGAGGGGGCGAGGAGGGGGAGGGGCGCGCCCTCCTCGCCGAGGAGGAGAGCGATTCGAAGGGGGATGGGGGAGGAGGAGGAGGAGGAGGGAGGAGGAGGGAGCAGAGAGTAGGGAGCAGGGAAGAGGAGGACCCCCCGCCTCACGTTCCTGGGTCAAGCCTTGCGCCCGTTTCGGCACACCCCTCACACGTTGCGTGGCCCCATAGCATAGGGAGCTCCACCTAGAGCCCCAATGACTCAATTCGCACGGGGACCCCCGCCCATTCTGGCACGCCCCTCGCACGTTTCGACGCCCCATAGGATCGCATATCCTCCTCGTCCCCTCGTCGACCTCCTCTGTAGCCGATTTGGCTCAGACTGGCAGGGCGGCACCTGCATGCTGCATCCGAGACTCGAACCGCGGCCGAAGAAGCGACCAGCCGATTCAGCGAGACATTCGGCCTCCAATACCTGGGGGCCGGGGCAGGGAGAAGCGCCAGCGACCTTCGACGACTCCGACGACGATTGGGGCATGCTGCATCCGAGACTCGAACCGCGGCCGAAGAAGCGGCCAGCCGATTCAGCGAGGCATTCGGCCTCCAATACCTGGGGGCCGGGGCAGGGAGAAGCGCCAGCGACCTTCGACGACTCCGACGACGATTGGGGCGAGTGGAGCTCGGCAGGCAAGCCACGCGTGAGGAGCCCGGCACCGAAGGACCGCACGCCGCCCATTCATCGCGCGGAGTCGGGTCGTGCGCCCCGCGCGCCGCCCGCGGGCTCAAGACGTGCACCCCGCGCGCCGCCCGATCATCGCGAGGGCTCAGGTGGCGCGCCTGACCCGTCCATCGCGAGGGCGATGGGCGACTTGGCGACGGCTCTGCGCGTTTTTCACGAGGGCTTGGCGGCTGCGGCACCTCCGGGCAGCTCGGCGGCCGCAGCTGTGACAGGCGCTGCTCCTGCAGGAGACGCTGCTGCTGCGGGCTGGCGCGAAGGCTCGGCGGTTGCTGCTGCAGCAGACGCTGCTGCTGAGGGCAGGCGCGACAGCCATCGCGGCCCACGGCCGCGCCCCCGGGCCATGAACGAGGAGTGGGTAGAGCCCGAGCCGCAGCAGGGGCAGCCCGGAGGAGCTGCGGCAGGAGACGATGCTGCTGAGGGCAAGCGCGAGGCCTCGGCGGTTGCCCCAGCAAGAGACGCTGATGCTGAGGGCGGGCGCGGAGGCTCAGCAATTGCATATGCCGGAAACACCGCGCAGGATTTTGGGCAGGCGGTTGCTGCTGCAGGAGACGATGCCGCTCGGGGCGAGCTCGGGGGCTCGGCGGCCGCGGGGGCGCGGGGCGCTGCCTCCGGCGGCTCGAACGGCCCCAGAGCAGCGCCTCCCGGGCTGCTGCGACGGCTCCAGACGTTGCAGCTGCAACGCATGCGGGACCTAGAGAACGCGGAAACCAAACTTCTTGGTCAACGACGACGATTCCCTGAGCGGCGCATTGTCGGCAACACGTACTACCATGGCTTCTCCGACTGTAACCCGCCGCCTGGGGACGTAGAGTGCATCGTTCAATGGCCGAAGATTCGAGGTCGGGATCCTACGCGGGATGTTGGGTCAGAACGCTGCGACCCCAGGTATTACGCCAACACTTACGACGACGACGCCGAGGATGTCGCAATGCCGCATTGCGACGAATCTGCCGCAGCGCCACCGCCGAATCGGACTACGACAGGTTCAACGCTCTCGGACTACGACAGGTTCAACGAGATCGGGGCAAGTGCGGCCCAACTTTTCGAACGCGGAGAAGTCGACCCCAACAAGATCCAGCCTCGTGAGGGGCCGCTCCGCATGATGCCGCCAGAGTGTTTCTGGCATTTCGCTCGGCTCTACTCTTACATACCTCCTGTGCCTGCTGGTGGGGATTCTGGGGCCTGAGGAATGCGAATGCATCCTCCTAGCCCCTGCGCCTCCCCATCCTCTTCTCTTCCTTGTCCTCCTCCCTCTCCACCTCCTCATCCTCTCCGCCTCCTGCATTCTCGTCGCGCTGGTGATTGGAGACACCGGCTTGCAAAGAGCGTATAGGTCGGTGGCCGGGGTTGCCCCGCGATCGGCTGCGTCGGCCCAGTCTTTCCGTGACCTCAGCTAAGCTGCGGGCATCATCTGGTCTGCCCTGAAATCGGCTTCGGCGGCTCTTGCTAATCTACTTCTCCCCTCCTCGACTCATTGAAGTTCCCTCGCTTCCTCCCCTCCAACGACGCATCAGCCGTGCTGCTTCGTGCGATCGGGGCGCGCGAAGTTGCATTTTCTGCTGTCACCCGCGTTTAAAGCATGCCGCGCTTAAGTGCGTGCATCGCGCTCTCCTGGGGCGGCTGTTGGGGCGAGGGCACCGTGTTGTACCTGGAGGAAAGAGTGGCGCGGATTGCCCTTGCCATGGGAGGGAACAGAGGCGGCCGTACACGGTGGAGGATAACATGCGTCCCTCAGCCCCCCTCCTCCCCTTCCAATTCCACTCCGCCCCTCCTCCCTCCTCCTACCTCCCACTCCCCCCCCCCCCTCCTCCCTCTTCGTGTTCTGCAGCTGCCGCATGCAAATCCTGAAGATCAGGTTTGCGAACGCGTTTTCGGCCGCGTGCAGCAGTACTGCGCCACGTCGCTTATACGAACATCTGCGCATCGCATCAGCAGTTGGAGCGAGGAAGGGGCGGTCGGAGAGGAGAAGGATAGGTCGGAGAGAGAATGGAGGAGGTCAGATTGAGCAAGCCCAGCACATCGCGGAGTCTGGCTCGCTGGCGCGCGCCCTCGGCGCGGCAAGAAGTGTGAGCATGTCATTGCCCCCCATGTACTCTTCAATCTCTCATGCCCCATGCATCAGCAATTGGAGCGAGGAAGGAGGAGGTCGGAGAGGAAGGGGCGGTCGGAGAGGACTGGGAGAGAAGGATAGGTCGGAGAGAGAATGGAAGAGGTCAGATTGAGCAAGCCCAGCACATCGCGGAGTCTGGCTCGCTGGCGCGCGCCCTCGGCGCGGCAAGAAGTGCGACCGTGTCATTGCCCCCCCATATACTCTTCAATCTCTCATGCCCCATGCCACCCCCCTTAATATTCAGCCCAGCTCAGCTCGCGCCTCCTGGATTCCCGACTTTCGTCTCGCTGCTAGATCTCCACAGGCCCTCGAGCGGAACGAGCCTCCGCGATCTCGTTGGCGCCGCCGCCGATGAAACGGCCTCCTGGCGGGCCGTCAGATTTTTCATCTCGAGGACGCTCTTGTTGATCTCTGTGCAGACCTTCGTGAGCTCGTGAGCGACGGGCGCGCCCTCCTAACAATTGTGGCCCCGTGGCGCCTCCAAGACGGCCCCAAAGCGCCTCCGTAACAGTTGTGGCTCAAGCTGCAGGTTCACCGACCCATTCCATATCTTTTACAAGCGCTTCTCATATCCAGTGTCGCATTAGGTCTGATTCCCCAGATGGTCGCTGCGAGTGAATTGGCCAGCGATGCCGCAGAGAACGCGATCACTAAGTCGACTCGTGGGGAGCAGGTTGAAATTGGCCAGCTTTACAACGCCCGCACTGGCGGGATCATCCCAAGCATCTCCCTTTGGCGCCTCGACGACATCAAAGCGGGGCAGGAGGTCGTTTCATGCCCAGACACGACCTTCGACTTCACCACCAGCATGAAGGACCTCCGGAAGCACCACAACCTCGACGCCGAAGGCTCCGTGGAGATCGACTTCGGCATCTTCGCGCTCAGCGGGTCCGCCCAGTACCTGAAGAACACGCAGCACCACGAGCACGAAGCCCGCGTGGACGTGTCCTGCACCGTTGTCAAGCATAGAAGGTACATGCCAATGGAGCTCTTGAAAAACATGAAGTTTCAAAATTTCCTCGACGACCCTCGCGTTACGCATGTTGTCGCGGAGGTTTACGAGGGGGGGACGGGCAACATCACCTTCACTAAAAAGTGTAGCTCTAAGGGGGATCAGACCCGGATTTCTGGCGCACTGGCTGGAAAACTCAAGGCTTTCATACCCATTTCGGGCAAGCTGAGCATGGATTGGGAGGAGGGCGAGGAAGAAGACTTCGAGGGCACCGATATCAGTGTCCGCGGCGCCATCAAGCAAACCGTCGGCACCATCGAGGACGCGGCTCGGGTCGGCAAGGAGTTGCCCACAAAGTTGAGTGAGCTGAACAATTCGCTCAAGATGGTGCTCCTCCCCCTGTCCTTCGTCGACTCCGAGGCCCGCCGCGTCGTGACGCGGCTCGACGCGCGCACCATGGAGGACGTATCTGCTGCTCTGGAGACTGCAGAGGGCGTTCACTTGTCTGCTGAATCCTTGTGCGTCGCAGTGAATGCGTTCCCATGTGTAGAGACCCAGCGCAGAAACTTCGCCACCGCTTTTAATTCCTGCATCATTACCTTCCGCACTGCCGTGCGTGGCTTGGTGCCGAAGCTCAGGGACGGGGATAGCAGCACCACCGACGAGGACACCCTTGAGCTCCAGCGCGCCGTGGATCGCATGACGCGCCAGACGAAGCTTGCCATTAAGTACGTGGAGCTGAAGAATCAGGAGTCCGCTGTGCTGGCTTCCACTGTCAATTTCCTGCTGGAGACCGGCTTTGCCAACTACATGGACCCCGTGGCCAAGGTCCAGCCCGCCATCGGCAGCAGCAAGCCGCGCATCTTGCTCTCCCTGGCCGGAAAGGACATCAACAACCCGTGCCACAAATTGGAGACATCGTTGACATGCGACGCCGTCGCCGTCGACGGCGATTCGGAGGAGGAGGAGGAAGAGTGGTTCCATCGGAGCTCCACTGCGTCTCTGCTGCAGAAATCCTTCGCCGACGTCGCGGCGCTCCAGGTCGAGAACAAGGCGGCCAGCTTCGACGCTGAGTATGGGGTTGGGATCGTGAACAAGGGAATCCCCTTCTGGTCGACGGACGAGAAGATGAAAAAGACAGATGTCGGCGACTTGGTGCTCTTCTTCGATGGCAGGGTCCGCATAATCTCCAAGTTCTTCCCCGGCCCCCCAGACAACGTCAAGCTGCGGTGCAACGAGCAGACCATGCATGTCCAGTGGGAGTGGCTGCAGCAGAACTCGATGCCCCCCCGCAGCTTTCGCGTGCTCTGGCGGCCCCGCCCAAACGCCGACTTGGACACTTTCGATCAGAGCGTCGACGAATACGCGGCGTTCGAGTGGAAGGATGTGCCTGCGGGAGTGCCTTGCGAGTGCGTACCGGGGGCGCAGGGGGGCGCTTGCCGCTGCGAGCTCGGCCCCCTGGGTCCAAATACGGACTTCGAGGTGTGCGTGCAGACGTGCTCCGACATTGGCTTCTCGGCGCGCTCCCCTCCGAACGTCAAGCGGACGGGCAAGCTGCCCAGTGCCGCCAGGGACATAATCGCTTTTTACCATGAGAATAAGGCCCGGCTCGAGTTGACCGGGGCCGGGGGATGGACTGACAAGGTCGGCGGCAAGAAGCCTTGGGAGTCTACGGAGGATTCGCTCTTCCTTGGCTCGTGTACCGTTGCAAGGAGAGCGTGCGAGAGCGGCAAGTTCGCAGGAAAAATGGCTGCCATCATGGCCGACGTTGCGTCCGACTTCAAGCCCGAGATCATTCTGGGCCCCGAGCAGGAGGCGCGGGCGCTCGTCCTCATGTTTGCTGGCCCCACGGGGGCCGGGAAATCAACGGAGATCAACGCGTTCGTCTCGTTCTTGTTGGGCGGCGACCTCGCGGACACCCACCGCATCATGCTGATCGATGACCGCGCTGCCGACCCGACGCAATCCGTCACCCAGCACATCACCGTGTACCGATTGCGGCCCCTCGGGCCCCGATTCCAGGGCCATGCGCTGTACATTGTGGACACGCCTGGCTATGGCGATTGCAGGGGGCACGAGGCGGATAACTTCACTACCGCCGCCATGGCAGAGTTGTTCAAGATGATCGAGCACGTCAACGCCGTAGTCTTCACCTGCAAGGCGAACGAGGGTAAGACGAGCCCGAGCATGGTTGCCGTGGCAACGCACATCTTCTAGCTCTTCAGCAAGGATGTGCATGGGTGCCTCCGTGCCGTTCTCACGCACGCTGATGCGGGAGCACCCCAGGCCGTCGCCAATCTCAAAGCGCTTGGTTGGCCCGTGGACAAAGGCTACGCTCAAGTAAACAACTCTGCTTTCCGAGCCCAGTCCACAACCGACGCCAACGTGCGCGACTGGTGGAAAATGTCAATGTCGGGCCAGAAGCGCGCGTTGGACATGTTGCTGCGCATGGGGCCGGTGTCTACACGCAAGAGCGCGCAGGTAACCACGAAACGCATGACGCTGGAGGAACGGTGCGAGCTCGCTGAGAAGAAGATCTTCCGCACGGCCCAGGAGACCCAGAGCCTCCTCGCCAACCTGCGGGCGATCGCAGAGGCGGTGGGCGCCAGCCCGGGCGAAAAGGTGAGGGTCAGCACTGTCATCGTCAAGGAAGAGCCGGTTGCTGATGGGAAAAAGACTACCCTCTGCTTAAAATGCCACGTAACTTGCCACGAAATTTGCGCTTTCGATGACGGCGAGAAGCATCAATGCATCGCAATGGACGAGAATGGGCATTGTAAGATATGCCTAAGAAATGCCACTATTCCGAGCACAGGAACGCTATGTTCATCTTGCGATCGGAGACGCAGTGGGAGGAAGTCGTGCCTGAGGATTTGATCAATCGCTGGAACAAGAACAACAACTCCATCGAGGGCGCCGTGCTCGGCGCCATGGACAAGTACCTTGCCCTGCAGGACGAGCTCACCGACGACATCAGGGCCCTGGCCGCGCTCACGGATGAGCTTCACCAGACAGCTCTCTTGCACGACCCCGAGCGTTTCCTCAAATATTTGGACACGCTCATCGCGTCCGCTAAGGCGCGGGGCGCCAGCAGCGAGCAGTTGCAGGCGCTCATGTCCGCCAAGAATGCAATGAAGATCGCCGCTCGAGCGGCGTCAGCGGAGGGCTATACGAATGCGGAGCCCGAGCTGCTCGCGAAGGTCACGAGGTACGTCCGCGGCGAGATGAAAAGGCGCACTCAGATGGGGCCCCTGGCGCGCGCCAAGGAGGAGGAACAGCCCTGCGATATCTACAACAAGATCTACAAGAGCCTCCCCGCGCCGATTCGAGAGAAAGCCCCCGCGCCGCCTGCAGACACCGGATATGCGTTCAAAAAGGCCCCGAAGTGGCCGGAGAACTTGAAGGCGATCGTCAAACTCATGGACGTCATTCTCGAGACCGGCTGCGTAATGGGCACTGTGACAGCGGACTGAACTTCGGCCGTCAGCCGACCTCCGCGCATCAGAACCTCATGAATGGTTGGGATCTCGTGGATGGCTGATACTTCTGAGCGCCTCTTGGGCGCCTTTTGGGATTTAATGAAATCCTCTTGGGGCCTCTTGAGCTCAGTATCGGGCCTGTTGGAAGTTTTCTGGGAGCCTCTTGGGGGTTTTTAAGAGCCTCTTGAGGCTTCTTGGAAGCCTCTTGGGGCTTCTTGAGGCCCCAGGAGATTATTAGAGGGCTCTCTAATCTCCAGGGGCCCCCAGTGGATCCCAAAGGGCACCCAAAAAGAGTCACGCAGGCGCATATACTTTGTCCCTCTGAGGGAACCTGTTTCAGAGAGTTCCCGAGATTTTCCGAATCCCCAAAGAGCTCACCAGGAATCCAAGAAGGCCCAATGAGGGCCCCCAGTAGATCCCAAAAGCATCCAAAAAGATATCAACTCTTGCATATACTTTATGCCTCTTTGGGGGGGGGGGGCTCTCTTGGAGATCTCTCAGACCTTCCTGGGATCCTGTCGGAGCCCTCGGAGCCCTGCTAAAGGGAGCTCCCGAGACTTTCCGAACCGAATGCCCGAGGGGCCGCAAAGGAAATCCAAGAAGACCCCACGAGGTTCACCAGGGAGCCACAAAAGACACCGCAAAAGAAAACACACTCGCGCAGGGTCATATTCAGGGTGCTCTCGCGCCATGCCAGCGGCAGCCGCGGTGCCACTGCGCACTCGCGCTCCATTAGCTCATAATCAGCGCCATGCATCGTCCGAGGGAGACGGGGCGCTTCCGGGGTTGCCTCGAGTTACGCCCTGGCTCTCTTATATCCTTTCATTTACATATGTTGCACTGGCACGTGATTTTACGTGTGCCCTCCTCCCGGTGCAGAGTGCATAGTCGTTGCGCCCGTGAGTGGGGGCACTGGCTCGCGAGGAGCGGATAGTTGATAGGTCCGCGCCCGGGGTTGCCTCGCGGGCGGCCGCGGGCACAGTCGAAGCGCATATTTCTCCTTCCTCGTATCATTGAAAACCCTCGTTCCTGTCTACTTCTGCATGCGTTGTAGTCTGCCTTTATCTGCATGTAGGGCGCAAGAGGGAGGAGTGAAGAGGGCGGAGACAGGAGGGGTGAGAGAATATGAAGGGAGGAGGAGGATGACGAGGCGGATGAAGATGAAGAGGTCGAGCGGGAGGGCCAGAGATGACGCTGATACGACGACGACGACGGACGACCATCGGGGGAGGAGGGAGGGGGGGGGGGCGAGGGAGGGGACGCTGCGCGACGCACGCCGCACACGGCGCCGGCACCGCGGGGCTCGAGGACCTGGAGAGAGAGAGAGAGAGAGAGAGAGAGAGAGCAAGACGAGCAGAGAAGAAGAGAGAGAGAGAGAAGAGAGAGAGAGAGAGAGAGAGAGAGAGAGAGAGAGAGAGAAAGAGAGAGAAAGAGAGAGTCGCCTGTATAGCCTAGTCATTCCTCCACCACGGGGGCGACTGCACACATCCCCCAGCGTGCGAGCATGCAAAAAACTCTTGGAAGCGCGTTTGATGACCCTGGGGCCCGGAAATCGTTCAGGTCCATCGATTTCGACCCCGAACGTCGTTGTCGACGACTATGGATGCCCGAAAACGGATTCCCTGGAAGATGAACCTCCGGAAGGCCCGATCCGTGCATGGTACCCGCTCTAGGAGGAGGAGGAGGAGGAGGAGAAGAAGGAGGCGGAGGAGGAGCAGGGCGAGGAGGAGGAAGAGGAGGAGGAAGAGGAGGAGGAGGAGGAGGAGGAAGATTTCTCTGGGCCCCAGCTCGACGGACCAGGTCCCAAGGGCGGAATCCCCGCAGGCTCCGACGACTCGACTCGACGAAACGACGACGACCCACAAAAGCAAGAGACGATGTGTACGACCGCCGACGACCGAAACATCATCGAAAACAACGGCAAAGCGCTTTCCAGGGACTTTCCGATAAACGAGGGCTTGGAGTTTCCATGGGTTGTCGATTCAGACGTATCCGGGCGCGTTCTTGGGGATCTGCGCCTGGCAACATCATCGCACCGGAGATCCTCTTGGCTCAAGCAAAAGGACCAGTTGACGCTCGATCAGTGATTGTCCGCCCTGTCCGAGAGGGATGCCTGCGTCAGGGACTCCGGTTCATGCGTTCGCAGGGAAGTATGTTCTCACGGACAACGACGCACCAGTAGATCTCAATCTGCCCGAGAGGCATTGGATCATTCTGACATCCCTGATAATGAGCATGACGTGCATGATCAGTCGCGAGCTGCGCAACATGCTTCATGCGCGGCGTCTCTTCACTCTCAAGACCAGAGAGACGGATCGACGCTTGAGAGAGCGCCAGATGAGCTGCCGCCATCCCATGGTGGAGATCTCATCAGGGTCCAACAAGCGCGGCAAGTGGTGGACATGCGAGAGGTGCGGGCAGCGGATCGCATGCAGGGACCAGCGGCAGCTGAAAGCCCTGGGTCCTCTACCAAAGTCCGTCAGCCTGATTCTCAACTGCACCATCACCGAGGTGATCCCCGATCCCAGGCCGCAATCAACGTGCAAAAACAGTCTAATCAAACCAAGCCCGGTGCGCGGGGATAATCGGGGGGACTACAGCCGCGTGATCGCCGACCCGTCCAAGGAGGAGGAGACGCCCATGGAGGAGGAGCAGCTTCCACTAACCCAACCTCGCCTATTAAGGCGCGCGGCGGAGGGCCCGGCTCAGCACAACTAGAGGGGAGAGAAGAAGAGCCGTTCAGCGCTGATGAACGAGCAGATCGAGCAGATCAACACGCTGAAGGCCCAGCAGCAGAACACCGACCAGATGATGATGGAGAATCGCCAGACGATGGAGTGCATGATGAGTGTAATGCAGCAACAGGGGCAAGCCATTCAGAACATGAACAAGTCCAAGTGGGAGGTGATCCAGATGGCCAGTCCGCCCGGAACGTCGGGCTCATCTCAGCCACGCGCCAGCCAGAAGGAGGAGAAGCCCCTGCCCCCAGACAACCTCGAGTGAGAGATTTGAAATCAGCGAGATCCCTTCCAGACATTATAGTCGAGCAAGTGCAGCGTTTTTCCCCAGCAGTTCCCCACGGCGGCCTATCATTGATGCTGTTCGTGCTCCCCCAAGTTCCTTCCGCCCCGTGCCCTCAGTGCGGTTCCGGGGTTGCCCCGAGTTCCGTCGGCGTTAGCTTGCGAGCTGCTGTGCGTTTCTATCCCAAGACGACCCGGAAGAACGGAGTAGAATGAATGGCCCCTCTGCTGCTGTAGCCGTGCTGATGGGACGGTTCCGGGGTTGCCACGAAATCCGCCTCGTCGGCGTTTCTTTGGGAGGCGCTTCTCGTGTGTTTTCCAGAGCGCTCGGGAAAAACGGAGTAGAGATGAGAGACCCCTCTGCTGCTGTAACCGCGCTGATGCAACGGCTCCAGGGTTGCCCCGAGATCCGCCTCATCGGCGTTTCTTTGGGAGACGCTTCTCATTTATATCCCAGAGCTCCCGGGCAAAAACGGATTAGAGGTGGGTGGCCCCTCGTCCCGCTGGCCCAATCAGAACAAAGACGCTCGAGAAAAAATTAACACATCTTCCGATATCCTCGTCGTCGAGAAGAGCGACGTGTATGGAGAGGTTGAGCTCGACGAGGACGGCTGGCCGATAGATCTCGACATGCCCGAAGACTCTCAGCCGCCTGCCTAGTCGCGCATTTGGTGCCAGGCCATTGCCATAGGCGAGGCCGCAGCTCAAAGCCGCCCAAGCGCTCCAGGTGTAGAACTCAGCGTATAGTGAATTATATGCTGTAGGTTGAGGGTTAACAAAAAGCACGAACACAGTATTCAGAATCATCGTACATTTCTTGTGACACACCCTTAAAACAGTGAAGTTCAACGCGCATGCGCTGACCTTCCGCTGACAAGATGACCCCATCCAGGCCCGCTCTCCTGTCACCCTGATCCTCCATGGGGAGGGGGTAGTCCAATGATCGGGGAGATTCTCAGGGGATGGAAACCGATCACCCCAGCCCCGCGAACGTTGGCCCACCGAGGCCGCGCGAGAATGACGATAAGTCGACTCGAGTGCCTCTGAGACCGCGCTCCGCTGGACCTCCCAGGAACCCGCGAAAGTGCGAACTGTTTCGCAGTTCGCCGCCCCGAGAATCCTGTCTTCAACGCGGGGGGGAAAGGAGGAGGGCCACCATCGTCGCCATTCGGGGTCAGGCGGGGTGCATCCCGCGCGCCAGCCGCCACCCGGCCCCCGCCCCCTGCGGGCGCGCGGCGCGCCAGCCGCCACCCGGCAATGACAGGGGAGCACAAGTATACAGACGATGAAAAAATAGAATGGTTTCTCAGAGATGGGCCAGGAGAGTTGACGCATCTCAAGTGGCGCATGGACGATGCCGACTACAAAATCAAAGAGGTGACGCAGCTCTGGCGGCGCATGGACCAGCTCGAATACGCGGCGACCAGTGATGGAGGTAAGTACCACGAGGCCTGCGCACAGTATGTCTTCCTGTGCAAGGAGTTTGATAAAATCAAGGGCGAGAACACGGCAATGGCCGCAAACATGGGAAAATAGACATGATTGCACTAAATTTCCAGAGGGAAATAAATAACATGCATACGAATTATTCGGCAGCGACTGCTCATGTACAACTAATCGACAGAATAAACAAAAACAACCAGAACCAATATCACAAGCATATCGAGTTCCTTGAGCAAAGGATCAAGGAGCAGGACCAGAGGATCAAGCAGCTGGAGAAGATGATCAATATCAAGGGTGACGACGTGTCTATGAGTGATGCTGCAGCAGACAACGTGAAGACAGGCATGGGCAGCACGGGCATGGGCAGCACAGGAATGTCATAGGGGCCACGACCGACGACGACGATGCTCATCCTAGGCCACACGTCACGGCCGTTCGAGCGCTCGAGTTTCAAAAACCAACATAGCAGATGCTGTAGTTTGCGCGTCAAATAAACACGAACCGACATCGTTCCTCCTCCCCCCCCTCCTC